TAATGTATGTAATAGCTGTAGAGCACTCTAAACAGTGTCTATATTGTTATTGTATTCACAAGATCAAAAATATTACACACAGTCAGAGCTGTTGGTTGTTTTATTGCTTCTGAGCAGAATCTTCATGCTTCCATCCTCTAGACCAGCACTGTTCAATAGGAGTATAATGGTACCACCTATGTAATGTAACGTTTTCTTTTATTTATTTACTTAATTGTCTAAAGTTTCTAATATAACATTTTCTAGTAACCACATTAAAAAAGTAAAAAGAAACAGATGAAATTAATTTTGATGATATATTTTATTTAACCCAATAATTCATAAATATTATCAGTTCAACATGCTGTCACTATAAAAATTACTGAGATAGTTTACATTCTTTTTTTTGTTTTAAGTCTTAGAAATATGGGTTGCATTTTACACATGAAGCGTGTTTCAGTTTCTTAATAGCCACTTGTGGCTAGAAGCTACTGTATTGGACTGTGTGCAGCTTCAGAGGTTTGCTAGTTAACCTTTTTCAATGTCAAAAGTGTCCCAGTTACCTATCACTGTGAATGAACCAACTCCAAAACTTAGTGGCTTAAAACAACAATGGTTTATTAATTTTCACGAGTCTCACTCACCCAGCCTTGTACACACAAGATTGGTGATTATTGGCTGACCTATTTCTTACCATGATAGTTGTGACATTTTCTAATTCCATGATTCCTTCTACATTTATTAGTTGGAATTCTATGGTAAAGAAGAACTTCTCCCTCATTTAGTCTTTTACTTAATTATATAGCAGCACGAACTCATAGACTCTTGTTTTTTTCAGTAGGTTATAATCCATTATTTATTTGAATGCTCGAATTGTCTTACCATTATATATCATTATATAGATATAGTCATATATTCATGATTTTATATATTTTTTGCAGATTTTCCATATTACCCCTGCCCATACACATGTATAGCTTCCACCAGTATCAACATCACTCACCATAATGGTACATGTTTTTTAAAACCAAAAATGAACCTATATTGACTCATCATAACATCATAATCACCCAAAATCCATAGTTTACCTTAGGTTTCACTCTTGGCTTATACATCCTCTGGGTTTGGACAAATGCATAATAATGTACCCATCATTATAATATCATACAAAGTATTTTCACTGCCCTAAAAGTACTCTGTGCTCTGCCTGTTCATCTCTCCCTGCCTCCCCCCCGGCCACCACTGATCTTTTTATTTTCTTTATAGCTTTGCCTTTTACACAGTTTTATAGGGTTGAAATTATATAGTATGTAGCCTTTTCCGATTGGCTTCTTTCACTTAGTAATATGCATTTAAGTTTCCTTCTTTTCTTGTAATGGCTTAATAGCTCTTTTCTTTTTAATGTTGCATAATAAGCCATTGTCTGGCTGTACCATAGTTTATTTATCTAATCACCTATTGAAGGACAACTTGGTTGCTTCTAAGTTTTGTCAATTATTGCCCTGATTGGTATGGCTGGGTTGGTTGGAGCATCGTCAGGGTACATGCCTGGGTTGTGGATTCAATCCCCAGTCGGGGTGTGTGTGGGAGGCAACCGATCTCTCACATTGATGTTTCTCTCGCTTTCTCTGTTTCCCTTCCTCTCTGAAATCAATTAAAAAATAAGTTTTGGTAATTATCAAAGCTTCTATAAACACCTGTATGCAGATTTTTGTGTGCACATACATTTTTCAACTCCTTTGAGTGAATTACCAAGGAACATGATTGCTGGAGTATATGGTATGAGTAAATTTTATTTTGTAAGAAACTACCAAACTGTCTTCCAAAGTGGCTGTACCATTTTGCATTCCCACCAACAGTGAATGAGAGTTCCTCTTGCTCCACATCCTGGTCAGCATTTGGTGTTGTATTTTGGACTTTGTCTCTTTCAATAGGTATATAGTGGTGTCTTGTTTTAACTTGCATTTCCTTGTGATGTGGAGCATCTTTTATGCTTATTTGCCATCCGTTTATTTTCTGTAGTGAAGTGTCTGTTCAGGTCCTTGACCTATTTTTTTTTAAGTCTAGTTTTATATTTTTAGTATGTCTTTATTGATCTTAGAGGAAGGAAGCAGGATAGAGAGATAGAAACATCCATGAGAGAGAAACATGGATCTCTGCCTCCTGCATGTCCCCTACTGGGGATCCAGCCAGCAACCCGGCATGTTCCCTGACCGGGAACTGAATGGGTCACTTCTAGCTTCATGGGTTGATGCTCAACCACTGAGCCACACCAGCTGGGCTGATCTATTTTTTAATCAATATATTTTTTTAATTTGTTGAGTTTTGAGAGTACTTTGTATGTTTTGGCTAGCAATCCTTTATCAAATGTGTCTTTTGCAAATATTTTCTCCCAGTCAGGCTTTTCTTTTTATTCTCTTGACACTGTTTTTTGTAGAGAAGTTTTTAATTGGAATGAAGTCTAGCTTATCAATTATTTCATACATCAGGTCTTTCCTGTTGTATCTAAAAAGGCATCATCATACCCAAGGCCATCTAGGTCTTTTCCTTATGTTATCCTCTAGGAATTTTATAGTATTGCATTTTACCTTTAAGTCTATGATCCATTTTGAGTTAAATTTTGTAAAGGTTGTAAGGGCTGTGTCTAGATTCATTTTTGTTGCATGTGGATGTCCAGTTGTTTCAGTATCATTTGTTGAAGAGACTATCTTTACTCCATTGTATTACCTTTGCTGCTTGTCAAAGATCAACTGACTATATTTAAGGTGGTCTATTTCTGAGCTTCAGTTTAGTATAGACTATGTCATTTCAAAAAAGGTGTCTATTTCATTACAAATAAGAACTAATGAGTAGAAGTTCTTCCCTTAAGTTGAAATATTTCCAAAGCATGATTACATTTCAAAGTTAAATCTTGTTCAAATTAAAGCCATCTCATGTCAATATTTGGCTAAACAAAAAAAGGTCCAGCAGAAATGCTAGCCCCAGGTGCTAGGATAACAGTGTAACCTGGGACAGTCCTGGAGAGGGTTCACCATGTCTAAAAGGCCTCTCATGATCCGTTCCTCATCCTTAGGACCCTCTCCCTGCCTGTCTCACCCAGATCTTTGCTTTGCTAGGCTCATGTTCTACCCCTGCATTTCCTGCTACTCTGCCTGGAAACACTTCGTCTCCTTCCTCACCTGGCTAATTTCTCTTTATCCTACAACCCAAGACTGTGGCATCAGTTTCTCTAGGCACTTTCCCTTGATCCTCTGATGTGCTCCCTGCCCTACCTCTATTGCAGCCCTTGTTTAATTGTTTCCCCTTCTTCACCTTTTCAAAACGTTTTTAGTCCAATGTCCTGTTACTTAAGACTCCTGCTCTTTGCTTCCTAGGGTGGCAGTTATTGGATAAACTGATCTGTGCTAGGTAGGATAAGTGATTTTACTGAATTGCTTATCTGCTCCTGAAAACATATTTGATTTTCACTGAGGCAGTGGTTTTCAGTGTGGGTGTGCACACATCAGGGAGTGGGTAAGCCCATTTATAAGGGTGTAGGTAGAACATGTGCTTTTATTGCTATAATTTTACTGAGCAAAACTAAGAAATTAAGGTTTTCTAATATTTAATATTTTATTTGAGAAAGGCATCTATAAACTTTATAAATCTAAGTTGACATTGGTAGTGTGTACTAAATAGCTTATTTTATTATTATTATTCAATATGTTTTTATTGGTTTTTAGAGAGAGGAATAGAGAGATAGGAACATCGATGAGAGGTACATCATCGATCGGCTGCCTCTTGCATGTCCCCTATTGGGGATTGATCCTGCAACCTGGGCACATGCCCTGACTGGGAATTGAGCCAGTGACCTCTTGGTTCCTGGGTTGATGCTCAACTGCTGCATCACACCAGCCGGGCCTGAATAGTTTATTGATTGAATGCTCCATCACAGAAATTTGAAGACCACTGTTACAGAGTCACGCAGACATTCCCAGTGGGTAACTCTTCCAGCTTCCTTGCACTATAATGGCTTATATTTATCAAGTGTTACCTATGTGCCAGGTGTTGTTCTATATACTTCACAGACATGGACATACTTATTGCTTAAAACCATGTTATGAGGTTGGTATGATTGTTAGCACCCTCATTTTATAAATGAAATAACTGACCCTGGAGACTCAGATAACTTGGTCAGGGACGGTGGTAGTATGTGACTGGTTCAGGATAGATTCTAGAGGCCACTTGCTTAACCCTTGTTCCGTATGGGCTGCCTGCCCGTCTGTTCCCATGGGCTAGACACATGTGGCCTTCAGGAGGAGAGGGACTGTGTTTGTCTTGTTCATTGTGGTTCCCTTAATAAATATTTCTTAAGTGAATGAAGGGACTGAGGGTCTGTCACCATCTCTAAATTCATGCCACTTAAATGGGAACTTTGGGTAAATAATTTTTTATTTTTAACACAAAACACTTTTTCCCTTGAAATAAATGGATCTGATGAAAAAAAAAAGACATGAGTTGAATTAGCAGTCCTATGTTTAGAAACTTTACATGAAAAAAGTCTGCATTACTCTAATACTAATGAGCCAGTTATGAGTCCCAGCTCACCACTGACATGACTAATGCCTTCCTTTTCTTGCTTTATCACGAGGGGATGAGAACATAAGAACTGAACCTCAGATTCCTTCTGTAGATTCTCTGAAGTGTTGCTCAAATGTGTATATTAAAACAGCACCAGGAGCAGCAGCAACCATGCCAACAGAAATGATAATGGAAAAGGGAAGTAAAACTTACTAATTTTTTGGGGAGGTTCACCCAGTAATAATAGCCTTTTAAGTCTGGCCCAGTTTTCCTTAATTCTTTGGCACAAAGATAAGTAATAATCTCTCAGGTGTTCTGGGCATTAACAACATGGAGTTGGTTTGACCAAATAAGTTTATGATTCCTTCCACATCAAGAATTTTAGGGGAGTCTTGCCAGTTCTGTGTTATATCATCAGATTCAAATTATGACTCTTTTTCCCCCCCTCATTTCCCTTTTAGGCTCTTTCGAGAGACTTACTCTTCCAGCAGTAAGTATCCATTAACATTTTTTGTTTCAGAAATGTGCATTTCATCAGTGAACTGAATACATTAATATTTTGTTGGTTTTTGTATCGTTAAATTCCTTGTGAAGTTGGCTTGAGTTCAGTTGCACCTTCAGACTATCAGACTATTTAAGAATAATATTCCTTCAGGGAGATTGGTTATTAGGCCTTTCAAACTTGTAGCAGAGATTTTCTTCTTGTAAAATAGAGAACTTCACTGAAGGAAATTGGCCGACTAATAGCACAGGAACCTGGGCTGGTTTGGTCCTACTCTGCCTTAATGAGCCCTACAGTCTCGAATATGTAATTAACGCTCCATCCCTTAGTCTCCTCATCCTGGAACAGGGCAGAGCCATGCTGAGCCTATTGGAGTCTGAGGCAAAAGGAAACATCAGTAATACTGATCCTGTCTTAGTTTAAAATTTTATTTTAGTTCATAATTGAATTATTTGTATTATTTTGGATATGTTAAACTATTTAAAATCATGTTATTTATCTTTACTACCGACTTTTTTGGTACCCCCTTACATTTTATACCTGAGCCGAGTACCTCACTCACCTCACCCTAGACCCGGCCCTGGAAAAGGGGATAAGACACTGTCTTTATTTCATAATGGTGCCGGTACCCTGGAGGTGAAATCAGATGTCACAGTGCTGTAACCTTTGATACAGAAGTGCAAAGGGGTTGTTATTTTGTCGAGAGAGTCATAGAATCTGATTAATAAATGTTGTTTGTGAACGAATCCTACTTCCCAGAGTTTTGATAGAGACTATCATCATTATTACTGTGTTTTGTCTTGGAGCTTCACACTAATGTGCAGTAAAGCACAGCATCCAATAGGAGGTACGCTTTGGTATACTTTTCTGAGAATAGATGACTAATGACGTTGACCCTGACACATTACATACTTACGTAGGCTCAGCATTACTTGATGAGCTGGGTTCCCCCATTACCTCCTGAAGGTTACTTGTCAAGCACATTCAGAAACACATTCATTTTGGAGGACTCTTTGAGGATTTAGTGCTCCCCAACAGTTTTATAAAAGTTACTTATATTCCATAGCTATAAAGTTTCTTAGCTATTTATGCTTGTGTTTTTCTTATGAAGAAATATACTTATTTTCTATTATTAAATAAAGTGGAGGGGTGGGGGAGGATATAGCAGGCAAAAGTCTTGGTGACAATAAAACATTAGATTGTGTTAATGAAACCTAAAACATTAGATGCTGGCCACCAGTGCCTGTGTATGTCACACTGTTGAAAGAGCATTCCAGTGAGAAGACTGAAATAAATTTTGTGTAATAGAATTGTCCTATAGCAGAAAGGGGTGGGATTTAAGTTCAGGAATCACAGCTTAAAGCACAATAACTTTCCGGTTTCCTCAAAGAAGTCTGCAATTGCATCGACCGGAAGAGCAGAAAGGCTGAGAAGAGAAGGCATTTAGACAGGATAAGGGCACTTGGACTTGTTCCAATAATGTTAGTATAAATTGCACTCATCCGAGCTCTCATTAGCTGGAATTTGGCTACTATTATTCTTTTAAGTCTTAACTATATGAAATACTAAGCCTGACATCCTATATGTGTCTTTAATATAATGCTATTTCTATTGTATGCAGCTATAGCAATATGTATTGAAAGCTTTACTAGAAATTATATTTAGGATTTATCCCTTTTTAGTAAACCTATTTTAAAGACTTAGTCATAAAATGTCCGGGAAAATTTGATAATTAGGCAAAAATAGAAGGTTCTGCATTTTTATGAGTTTTCAATTAAAATAGGCCCAACTTTCAAAGTGTACTTGCATTCTGATGTTTGTAAATATATTATTTTAAATTAAGGCCTTCATGAATTTTTTGCTGTAAAATATTCATATATTCATATTCATATATTCCTATTCATATTTGGATGCATTAAAACAAATGTGTTTTTAACATCTGGTTACTTATTGTTTTTACTTTTTGATACACTCCAGTTAGCCTTTAATAAGGAGTAAATGAAAAGTTAATGTTTAATACAAAGATTATTTTTTGTACAAAATATGCTAGAAAAAATTTCTTTATTATCTTATTCTCTTTGTCAGTAAAGTTAAGTTACATCACATGAGGGAGTGATTTTTAAAATTAGAAATGTTTTTAAAGTTTATGTTAGGTAAAATTACTAATACATTTTTGATAGAGACTATCATCTTTAAAAAATGTTCTCACTGTATCCGGAAAATTATTTGAAATTTCCATTGCTCTTAGTAACTGCTATTACTAATGAACTGAAGTAGGAGAAACACTATCATGTCTCATTTCCATAGACAATTGATCTTTCAGAGAAGGTGAGAAGGCTTTAGACAGCCCAGATTAGAATAAGAAATCCATTTATTGTTCATCAAAGACCTTTTTGAGTGTGCCTTCCTTTTGTACCTTGGCCAGAGAGCTATCTTTTACTTAGAGGGTATATTTACATACACACAAAACAGACCTCGCATAACTGAGAATCAACCATGCCCAGCTCAGATGCTGATTGCTGTTTGGTTGATCAAAGCCCCTCGATACTGTATACTCCAGGCTCTTGTCCTGCAGCCAGACAGTGCCCAGTTGTGGGAACTGCATCTCTCTCCAGCCCTGTGCCCTCAACTCAACACGAAGGAGTCCCAAATCTCTGTGGGTAAATAATTGGCTTTTGTGTAAGAGATATGGAGGAACCTCTTGTGAAAGATCCTCTTTTTTACCAATTCTGGGAACCCTTTTTAGTAGCTGTGGCCCTAAGAAGGCAGAAGGCATTTGATCAGCAGAGATTCAGGAGCCTGTATTACCTCTGGGGTTCTCTCCACAGTGGGAAGCAGATTACACCCGCTCCAGATGTGGTGCAGAGAGAAACTTTCATAAAAAGTGTTTAGAACCCAGCATATCTTCTTCAGTCTCCTTCTCAGGATGTCCCTCTACTGTTAACAGTGAAGGGCCAAGTTCTGTGCCTACATTCAGGATCTGTTGTGCCATCCGGAGCCCACGGGCCACCGCAAGCTGTGTGACGATGCTCAGATCCACAGAGACACTCTAGGAAGGTCTACTGATGCGCCAAGTGCGTGTTGTCTTCTCTGACTTTCCAGCACTGGGATCCGCGCCTAGGCTTGGAGGATCCCAAACAACCTAAATGTTACATATGGGGCAGCGGGGTTTCTAACAGGGGAGAGTTGAGAAAGAAAATTAGGGCAACTGGAAGGAGCAGAAAGACAGTCAGTGCCATCCCCTCCTGAGGCTGTGTCAGCTCCCTGAAGGAGGGTGGAGGAGGGAACAGAGTGAATGTTTTTGGACACATTCGTGTTTATTCGAATTCTCTAATTCTTTGACCTCCTGTGGCTAATAGGCCTTTTTAGCTCCAGGCCTCTGCATCATTAATTTGACAGAAGTCTTTAATCTACTTTTTGTTCTGGAGCCTCTGTGCCACTAAAAATGATCAAACTAGTCCAAATTATAAAGAGAAATCTCATCAAGTATCTAATTTTTAATACTTCTAAATCTTTTCCATATATAAGCATATGATATAATGGTTCCTTGGCATGTACATTTTCCTGAGTATAGTATTAAGGAATCTGTTTAAAAAAATCTGAGGACTGAAATGGCACTTGAGAAAACAGAATATAAGAATGCAGGTTTCAGGCTAGACTCTCAGCCCCACCAGGGCACACATCTTTGCTTCATCATGATGTATCCCGAGCACTTAGAACATCCTGGAGCTAGAAGGTGCTCAATAAATACTTATTTATTGAAGGAAAGCAGAAAAATCAATACTAGAAGTCATTTGAAGGCGATATTACTGATTCTTTTTCCTAATATTTTATTATGAGATATTTAAATGTACAAAAAAACTTGAAAGAATTTCATATACCCACCAGTTAGAATCTGCCATTCACATTTTATCACATTTGCTTCATCACATATTTCTCCATCTACCTATCTCTCCATCCATTTATTTATCTTATTTTTTAAATGCATTTCCAAGTATTTTCTCCTTAAAATTTCCTGCTGACCATTTTATTGGTGGTTTGATACATTTCCTTCATATTCTTACCCATATTCCTAGCTTTATGGCAGCTGCTGTTACTGGAAAATTCCCCTGAGCTTTCTGTGGGTAAAACTGATTTGCAAAAAGGAGTCAGAATGTAGTTTTAGAACTTCAGGTTTTTTAATCTGGAAAGGAAAAGTCAGGTGTACTAATTATCTGTGTTGTGTAATCTATTATCCCAAAACTTCGGTGTAATGCAACAACACTCTTATTGCTTCTCACAGTTTCTGTGGGTTAGGAATCTGGGAACCTCATAGTAGGGCGGTCCTGATTTGGGCTCTCACAAAGATGCAGTCAGTATGTCACCCAGAGCTGCCGTCATCTGATGGCTTCACTAGGGCTGGCTCTTCTGCACAGCTGGCAGGTTGGGGGTGGGTGTTGGGGGGAGGCCTCAGTTCCATCGCATGTGGGCGTGTTGAGTGTCCGCAGCATCTGGTGTCTGCCTCCTGCCAGAGCGAGGCATCAAAGAAAGAGAGAACCAGGCAGAAACCATCATTTTCATGATGCAGACTCATTCTGTTCCTGAGAAGCAAGCCACTAAATCTGGGGAACTCGGCTCTATCTTTCCAAGGGAGGGGGGAGATCAGAGGAGTTTTGGACATATTTTAAAACCACTACATGAAAGGCTCTTAAGAGCAGCATAGCTCCTCTTGGGTTGGAATCTCAGCTACTGACCTGGAACGACTTCCTCCACTCCTCCAGGCCTCAGTTTCCTTGTGTGGAAAATGGTATTAGTGAGAGCACCCACCCGGAGGGCTGCTGTGAGGTTAAATGACACAGCATGTGCAAACTGTTCTGGTCTGTTCATGCTGGAAGGGGAGGCTTCTGTTACTAGAAATAGTAAAAGGACTGTGACACATACTGCACAAGGTGTAGGAAGAGAATGTGTACGACGGAGCTTGAGAGAGGATAGCAAAACCCGAATCTTGTGCAAATGTGCCTTCAGGTGGGGGATGGCATGGGAAGGAATGTTGAAGGATATTAGATTTTCTGCCCCACAGTGACTGTCAGTGAGGGAAAATTTGCACTTGGAATAGGAAATGACAAGGTGACTGGCAGCTGAGAGTGAGCTGTGGGATGTGTCTCACATTCCAGGAGCCCTGTGATTTAATTGGAGAGCAAAGTACAGGATGTTAAAAAAAGGAAAGCAAATTGTTTAACTTAGGTGCCTAGGAGGAAATGTTCCAACGTGGCAATTACTTTTTCTGGTAAACCTTGCAGTTACTTTCGATAATACTATGTATTTGCGTTTTTTATCCTACTTATAATTAAAAACGTTTTTGATGTAAACTAATGAGACCTTGACATGTCTGATCTCTTTTTCCCCTAGTTACCTCTGCACAGTGCATATGGGATTTATGAGCTCCGTGTAACTGGACGTGCACAGGATGAGCTTTTATTCTCTAATAGCACACGCTTATCATTTGACGCCAAGAGAATGACGGTCTTCACTCAAACAGACAAAACCGTGTACAAGCCAAAGCAAGAAGTGAAGTTTCGTGTTGTTACACTCCGCTCAGATTTTAAACCTTCCAAAGCCCCTGTAAACATTCTAATTAAGGTAAGTGCCAGACAGAAATGAAGAGAGGAGTTCGAGCCATCTTACTGAAGCTCTCTTGTAAGTTTCGTACACGTTATCTTAGAATTCCCCATGGACAAGCTTCCCTCCCAACATGGGATACTCTCTCTAGGAGGGGAGCTGGGGTTCCAGTCCTGGCTTCTTCACGGATTTATTCATTTGTTAACCATTTATTGAATTTCTGTCCCAGGTGCTGGGATAGGGCAGTGAACATAACAGATTAGGTTCCTGATCACATTGAGCTTATATTTCAGTGGGAAGACAGACAATAGAAAAACACATACACACATACACATATAGATAGGTAGATATGTATATATTTATGTGTGTGTGTGTGTGTGTGTGTGAGAGAGAGAGAGAGAGAGAGAGAGAGAGAGAGCAAGAGGGAAAGAGAGAGATTGCTATTTCTTATTGGGTTGTAAGGGAAATACTATTTGAGCAGAGGCCTAAAGGAAATAAAAGAATGAGCTCATGCAAACATAGGGAACAGCACACGCGTAGGCCCTGAGGTGGGAGCTTGTTAGGAGCTTTGGGGGAACCACACGCTGACAGTGTGCTGGAGCCCAGGGAATGAGGGAACCCATTTTAGGAGATACAGGTAAGTGGGTCGGAGGAGGGGTCTTACAGGGTCTTGTTGGAGGAGGGGTCTTACAGGGTCTTGTCCATTTATATGCACTTTGCATTTTATTCTAGGTGAAATGAGAATTCACTGGAGAATTCTGAGGAGAGGCATAATGTGATATGACGTAAATCTGAAAAGGATCCGCTCTAAGAATAGCTCTGGTTGTGGGACCTTGAGGGAATTAATTAAGCTCTCTGACCCTCAGTTTCCTCATCTGTAAAATGTATAATAATATCTCAGAAGCTTTTTGTGAGAGAATTCAAGTAAAGGCTTTAGAACTGTGCCTGGCACATAGTACATGCTCACTAAACGTCAGCTGTTATTACTGTGGGAGCCTCCTTTGGCAGGGAGTCACTGGGCCTTGCTGCTTGAACACTCCGATCATCTGGAGGCAGCGTGGTTAGCAGACTGAGTGCTTTCCTGTGAGAACCAAGTTGAAGACAGTTGAGACCCAGCTGGATGTGGTTTCTACATTTAAGCCGAGGAGAATGCTAGACATTAAATCGTAACATGGAAATAAGGCAACCAATTTCCAGTCCCAGTTTGTCCGGGATTCTCTTGATTTTAAAACTGAAAGTCCCTGGTCCCAGGAATCCGTTCAGTCCGGGACATTGGTTGCTCTCAATGTTCTGATGAATAACAGAATGGGAGGTAAAGTCAGGCTTTTAGTTCAGTGTCTTCCTATATTTAGTTTATTTGTTATTAATTGAACAAACAAAAATCAAACAAATAGACGTGTACACAAGACTTGGAGCCACGGTGTGTTTGTAGTAAATACCATGTTGGTTGGCATGGTGCTCAATGCATACTTACTGGATTAAACTAGGATTACTTCAGAGCTGGCGGCTCCGTGTATTTCTGCCCCTGCTGTGTATTGGAGTGTCTATAAAGTAGGTTGTCATAGTGAATAGCATTTCTAAATTCACGTGACTCTCTGAGCAGGGCTTTATGGATTCCATTCATACCATCCTTTATCATTTATCCACATATACTGAGAACTTACTCTATGCCAGAAACTATGGGTAGAAGTAAATGCCTGCTTATCTTTGGCTGCTTACATCCAATTTGCCTCCTTCTACCTTAAAGTCAGCATTGAATAAAGTGCCATTAACCTTTGAGCCATTAACCAGAGCTAACCCTGCTCATTCTGGACAGCTGCTTGGTGCATTTTTATAATTTTGCCTCTCTATTCTGCTCTAGCACCTGCCTTTGAAACCTTTGATCTGCAGATTCTTTCTGCTCTTATCTCTAATTTTGAGCATCGCCTGCCACATTCAGCTTTTCCAGAAGCAGTTAGAGAGACCTTCCTCTTGCTGCCTCTGGTCCCGAGGAATCCTACTGGCTTGGCTCATGTGTGGCCCTCTTGGTCCCGGGGGAGTGGAGTTTAGACTAAAATTCCACCTGGAACGCAAAGTATTTGGGAACAGTGAAGGGGAGGTGGCTATCCTCTGCTCTCTGCATCCAGGCAGTGAGGCTGAGACAGGAGCTCAAGTCTACTGCCTCCTTCCTTGTAACTGGCAGAGGCCAGGTCATAGCATTGATGCGGATGCCCACACCCTGTACTCCTCCATCTGAAAACAGTCATTTGGGCTGGGCTTCAACAGACAGTGATGCTTTCTACATCGTTCAGTGAGGAATAGTTGAGTTGGTTTCTTGGAAAAATTTCCCAGAAAAAAGTGGGACTTAATTTAACAAGAGCCCCTGACTTGGACAGTTGTATTCCCCTTACACAGCACCACCTGCAGGCTAAATAGAGAAGTGCATCTGATGGCTACCGGCTGACTTTTTTTTTTTTTTAATTAATCATTATTGTTGAGATTATTACAGAGTTCCCTCTTTTTTCCCCCCACAGCTCCCCTTCACCAGATTCCCATCCTGCCCCAGGGCGTCACCACTCTATTGTCTGTGTCCATAGGTAATGCATACATGCATATAAGATCTTCGTCTAATCTCTTCTCACACCTCCCACCTCCCCTTCCCTCTGAGAATCCTGTCTGTTCCATTTCCATGCCCCTGATTCTATTCTATTCACCAGTATATTCTGTTAATCAGATTTTTTTATTCACTTGATTTTTAGATTCAATTGTTGATAGATATGTACTTGTTGCCATTTTGTTGTTCATATTTTTTTTTTACCTTTACTTTTTCTTCTTCCTCTTCCTAAAGAATACCCTTTTTCTTCTTCCTCTTCGTAAAGAATACCCTTCAGCATTTCATATAATACTGGTTTGGTGGTGATGAACTTTTTTAGCTTTTTCTTGTCTGTGAAGCTGTTCTGACCTTCAATTCTAAATGATAGCTTTGCTGAGTAATCTTGGTTGTAGGTTCTTGCTATTCATCACTTTGAATGTTTCTTGCTAGTCCCTTCTGCCTGCATAGTTTCTGTTGAGAAATCAGCTGACAGTCGTATGGGCACTCCCTTGCAGGTAACTAACTGCTTTTCTCTTGCTGCTTTTAAGATTCTCTCTCTGTCTTTTGCTCTTGGCATTTTAATTATGATGTGTCTTGGTGTGGTCCTCTTTTGGGTTCCTCTTGTTTGGGGTTCTCTGTGCTTCCTGGACTTTTAAGTCTATTTCTCTCATCGGGTAGGGCAAGTTTTCTGTCATTATTTCTTCAAATAGGTTTTTAATATCTTGCTCTCTCTCTTCTTCTGGCACCCCCATAATTTGGATGTTGGTACGCTTGAAGTTGTCCCAGAGGATCCTTGCAACTATCTTCATATTTTTGGATTCTTTTTTCTTTTTGCTCTTCTGGTTGGGTGTTTTTTCTTCTTTGTATTTCAAATCTTTGACTTGATTCTTGGGATCCTCTAGTCTGCTGTTGGATCTTTGTATATTATTCTTTATTTCAGTCAGTGTATGCTTAATTTCTAATTGGTCCTTTTTCAAATCCTTGAGGGTCTCACTAAATTTCTCGGAGGTTTCGAGAAGATTCTTGAGTAACCTTATAACCATGGTTTTGAACTCTATATCCAGTAGTTTCTCTCCTCCATTTCTTTCATTTGTGACATTTTGGCTGCTTCCCTGTGTTGATAGAGTGGCTTTGTGTACTAGGTGTCCTATAGGGCCCAGTGGCTCAGCCTCCCTAATTACCTGAGGTGGACACTCTTGGTGCATCCCTTTGTGGGCTGTGTGCACAGTCTTGTTGTAGTTGAGCCTTGATTGTTGTTGGTGTTACTGGGAGGAATTGACCTCAAGGCCAATTGGCTGAGAGGACCAGCTGCGACTACAGTGGGAGAGCTGCTGTGCAGGAGACACCCTTATGGAGCAGGACTTGCTTCAGTGGGGCTTTGGTGCTCACTGAGTCTGCCCCTTGAGAGTGTTGCTTATGGATGTGCAGAATTGTAATCTGGTATGGTCTCACATTGACCACTGGGTACACTGGCTCTTGAGTCTCCAGGGAGGTGCAAAGTCAGCCATTGCCTAGGGCCACCCAACAAGAGCTACAGAGAGATCTGCAGATTAGTCCTCTTTGTATTTGGTTTGAAAGTGCCCAGACAAGACCCAGCTGTGAAGCAAGGCAGGCTGGTGCTGGTGCCGGGTCTTGGGCCTTTTATTGATAGTTTTGGGGCTCCTTGACCCAGCTGCAGCTTGTTTGACAGATTTTTAGCCTGAGAAAGGACAGGCCATTCATATGCAAAAGCCATTGCCCACAGCTTGGTTGGGGTTGTAAATTGGGTGGGGTGGGGTCTCAGGGAATCACCAGGGCAAACAGAAATGACTGCCAGTCAGCCCTGCAGTAGGGTGGTCCCAGCATGGGAACATGACTTCTGCGAGCACCTCTGTCTGGAAGAAAGCCACCCCCGAGTTCCTGCCCCGATGCCAGACAGTCTGGTTTCTCCTCGAATGTGTCTGGGTCCCCCAGAGCCTTGACCGACACTGGAACTCAGAGGAAGCTGGAGCTTGTAACTTCAGTTTGTGGTGCTGGCCTTTTAAGAGGAGCAGCTGGGTCTCCAGCAGCCTGTGTGTCACTCAGCCCCAATCTGCACTGGTTTTTACAGCCCGTAGCTCTTACTGCCTGTAGTGACTTCTTTTTCCCAGCTCTGGGATCCTGGGCTGGGCATCTGGTGTGGGGCTGAGACCCCTTGCTCCTCCTGGCACACCTGGTGATCTTCCTCCTGATTAAAAAAGTGGCACACCTGGGTGCTGGACCAGCCCATTCTGCACCTTCTACCAGTTTCAGTGTGCTTTCTTCTTTACTTCTCTAGTTGTAGCACTTCTACTCAGCCAGCTTTCCAGTGGTTCTGGATGATGGTTGTTCTGTATTTTAGTTGTAATTTTGATGTGGTTGTGGGAGGCAGCGAGTACAGGCATTTGCTTACACCACCATCTTGGTTCTCTCTGCCGGCTGACTTTTTGTGGCCCATCTTGCTCAGCTAAGAATGACTGACCATAGGATGTAGCTATATTGCATGTCACAGAATAGTCAGTGTTGTTGTTTTTTTAAATCACTGGGTCTTATTCATTTTTTTCTGATCCAGTAACAGATCTTTTCAGGAAGGAAAGGGGTTTTAGAGGCCTTTCAGCAGCGGGAAAAGCATGTCCAATTCTGCCCTAATATTGGCCTCTTCCAGCCAATCTGGCCTAATACTATTGCAGTAAGTGCCTTGGACACTGTGATGGAAGCTGGCACAGCTGGTTTCTACCTTGACCTCCGTTCTTGAAGGAGTTGTTCCTCCTGGCACAGGTGAATGACCTTATGTGGGAAGAGGTGTTGGCATGGGGACACATCCTCACTGTGCCGTGACATTCTGGCCTGGAGCAGCAGTGGTTAAACCAGAACCTCATTCCTGGCCAGGTGAGGGCACCTTGTTTAAGTGATTTGACTTCTCTAATTCCACATGCTGGACAGTCAGTGCGTGCATATCCCAGGACTCCAGGGAGTGGCAGAAATACTCCCTGCGGATACATATTTCAGCCAGGGAGTGCACTGCTCAAGATAGCCTGGCACAGGCAGCTGGCACTGTGCTGTGGGAGCAGCTGACGGAGAGCCAGAGCCATCCAGACGTTACTTAAAGGGCATGAGGGGCGGCGTTTCCAGCTTCTCCTCATGCAGCTGTTCTAGCGGTGACAGGGGCACTGGCTGTGTGGGTCCCAGCAGGAAGTGACCCCTTGCAAATGGTGGGTTCTGCTGTGATGCCACCATGCATGGCCTGTTGAAATCCCGATGTGCTGTGCAAAGACTACTGGTGTTTCTGCATTCTCTATGTCTTCCTGTTGGTGATAGGGGTAGGTCCAACACAGGCTTGAGAAACCAGAGGGATTATCTCATTCACTCCCAGCCTTCCAGATCCTCCATGTGCAAAGTCATCAAAGACTTCAGTTCGGACTTCCTTGGTTCGTAGGGCCATGACACCACCTGGGAGAAATGTGCAGCCTCACCAAAGTGACACATCAGCAGAGAACGTACACTCCTTTCCCTACGCTTTCAAGAGCACTGGGAGTTATCGTTATTGCTTGTTTATCTTTGTCAGTCTGACAGAAGAAAAATGGTATCGCATTGTTTTCAGTTGCATTTTTTAGAATTATTAGACAGCACATATTTATTAGCTATTTGTGTTTCTTCCTTTGTTTTTGAGCCTTTAACTCCGTGGTCCTCCCATGCATCATGCTGGGGCAGGCAGAGGAGAGCCAGCTGCTGGTCACAATGCCCGCCCCACGAGTTGGCCAAGGACGGTGACCTGCTTATTCTTGACGGGCTTTTGGTCTTTGGTTTTAACAATTAGTTTCTGGCTACTCAGTTCTCAGCATTGTGCTTGCTCCTGACTTTCACCTTCTCCCTCACTTGGGGAGAGAGATTTCTTCTGGCTTCTAATATCTCGATCAACCCAGTGCCTCAAATCAAAGGACAGGGAATAAGAATTAGGGAAAAGGTTTGATCCCTGCTCTCAGGAGTTCACAGTCTAGTCCGGAACAAACAAAACACCACCCCCCCTTCCAGATGACTATTGAATACTTTAAAGAGTAATATGTATTCAAGAGAGATAAACTCCAGGTTTCCTAGGGGCTTTCCAGGAGGTGGTCATTTCTGCCTGTTGGAGGCAAGATGTGAGCTTATTTCACTTGTTGGACAAGGAAGGGAGGGCATCCCACGCAGCAATTGTAGAGACCTAGATGCATGAGCTTTTGGGGTAAAATGCAAACAAATCTGTAGGCTTGGAGGAAGATGAGTCTAGAAATGGAAAGGGGGTCAGTTTACTAAGCCTCGTATATGCTGCAAAGCAGCGTAGAACTCATTCTGTAGGTAAACAAAAGCTATAGTTACCTAGTGGTCTAAGAGAATGATAGCCACTGTTTATTCACTGCTGATTATATGCCAGGAGTTGTGCCGACTATTTCTGCCACTTAGCCTCAGTCTCAGATTTGTGTTTTGGGATAACACAGTTAGTAGTGGGGAAGATGTAATGGAAGAGAGAGATTATTTGCAGTAGTTAGAAAATGAGAACCTGGTGGCTGTATGGGGGATGAAAAGCAGACAAGTTAGGGAGACAGTAAAGAGACAGAGAGGACAGGGCTGGGAATGTCAGAGGAATCAGGGATGACTGCTGCTTTGGCTAGATGAATGGTGTGAGAGGGGATTGTTGTCTGGGAGAGTATAGGAATAAAGCAAATGTTTTTCATACATCCCCTTGGTTATTCTATTATTGAATTAAAAGACAATGGGCTTGAATCATGAATTCCACCATGTAATAGTGCTGAATATTGGACCATGCTAATCACTTATAGTTGAGTACTTACCTAACATCTCTAGGCATCAGTTTTCTCAACTATATTTTTAGATAATCCTACCCCAAAGGAGAATTTTAGTGACTGAATGGTGTATGAATGGTAATGATCAAGCAGAGTGTCTGACACATAGTGGGAGTTTAATACATGGAGCCTGTTATCTGTACAGTGGAATCTTTTTAAACAACAACAACAACACAGGTTTGCTGATGTACATGTTGTAGTGTTTCATGTAGAAGAAACATGATGCCTGGAATTAAAAGGGTGAGAAGAATCAAGATATCCTCAGAGAATATAAGCAAAGAAGAAACTTTGATTTGTCTTATTTAGTGGTATAGAGCTGACATCTTTTTCAAAAATGATATCTGTGCCATATTTTGGAACAAACAATACATCAATGCTGATGGGATTGTTCATAAGTAGATAGTGTATGTATGTACACAGGCAGCTTTTATATAATTAATATGTATGGCTTTCATTGTAGGACCCCAAGTCAAATTTGATCCAACAGTGGTTGTCAGAAAAAAGTGACTTTGGAGTCATTTCCAAAACTTTTCAATTATCTTCCCATCCAATACTTGGTGAATGGTCCATTCAAGTTCAAGTGAATGTGAGTATAAATATATTATTAGGGGGAGCATTAAACTGATTTAAATAGGTCAGGTGGGGCAATATATCCAAAGTCATTTACTTAATGAACAGAAAAACATTAATCTGAACATCCAGACAATTTAAGTGGTTTGTTTTTAATTTACTATGTTTTTAAATGGGTTAACTTAATTATAATGTATGAGTTTTAATCATTGTTGTCTTTTTCTATAATGTTTCAAGGTTAAAACATTTCACCTTTTAGTATAAAACTGATTAAATGATGTTTATTTTACTTATTTATTGCATATATTGAGTATTTTAAACCTAAGTAATGAGTACATAGGTATTATTTAGCAAATTTTATGTCTCAGAATGATGACTCCTATTTATTTTGTTTTAAAACACAGTGACTTTATTTTTAATTTTATTTTTTAAAAAATATAGCTATTTATTTTCTTTTTTTAAAAAATATATTTTTATTGATGTCAGGAAGGGAGAGGGAAAGAGAGATAGAAACATCAATGATGAGAGAGAATTATTGATTGGCTGCCTCCTGCACGCCCCCCACTGGGGATCGAGCCCGCAACCTGGGCATATGCCCTGACCAGGAATCAACCGGCAACCTCTTGGTTCCTGGGTCGACGCTCAACTGCTGAGTTACACCCGGCTGGGCTTTATTATTATTTTAAATCTTTTTTGTTGAAGGTATTACATATGGCCCCTTTCCCCCCCCTATTGACCACCTCCAGCCCACCCCCCACCACCACCCCCTGCCCCAGACCTTTTCCACCCTAGCCTCTGTGTCCATGGATTATGCATATATGCATACAAGGCCTTTCGTTGATTATTTCCCACCCACCTACCCTCCCCCGCCTTCCCTCCGAGATTCTGCACTCTGTTCCATGCTTCCATAAAACACAATGACTTTAAACAGCCACATCAATCTTCTGTTCCCCGGTCCTTCTTTCCCCCCAACTCTTCCACCTGCTTCCTTTATTTGCTGCTAACTCCTGTAGCTCTGGGATCTAACCAGGCAGGGGCATTAGAATACCATCTGTGCTTCAGGTGTTCTCCTGTGCATCACCGTGTGATGTTTGAATATCCATTGAATGTTTCCTCATTTTTTTCCCTTTGGAATTTATTAACATAAATTTGTGAATAAGACCTTCTGTTGGAACAGGGCTTCTCACTATTGACATTTGGGATAAAAATTCTTTGTTGCTGGTGCTGTCCTGTGCACTGAAGGACATTTAACAGTATCTCTGGCCTCTAACCACTGGATGCCAGTGGTGGGCTCCCCTCTCTCCAAGTTGTGACAATCAAAAATGTCTCCAGACTCCACCAATGTGTCCTGGGGGAGAATGCCCTCCCCTCCTCCATTGAGAACCACTGTATTAGAAGGAATAAGCATTCATTAGCATTAGACCTGAGGTAAGATAAAAGTACCAAGTACTTAATACATAGAAAAGTAAACAGTTTTTTTTTGGTTAACATTTTCTGGAACCACATCCTAAAAACAGAACTTGTCACCTTAGTTAGCACCTGTTTTTTGAGCATCTGCATAAAGATGAAGAGCACGCTGGGCTTGTGGGGAGGTTGTACCAGGAAAGGGAGACAGATGGGAAATGAGAATGTGTAGAGGCATGTACAAGGAGTTATGGACACCTGGAGCAGGGGTGATGGACCCTGGGGGAGTAGACAACTAAACTTGTAGAGAAGGAGGAAAGAGCAGACATTTGTGAGACTTAGGAGAGAGGATTTGTGTAGAGGCAGAGAGCCTCATGTGTCTGGGATTTGGGAGAGGTTTGGAGTGTATGGAGAATGATGGGGTTCGAGGATTAGGAAGCATATTGTGAGTTTAAGGAGTTAGGTTTTATTCTCAGTTTCCACTTTTTGATTTCACTATAAAGTCTTTTGGAATTCGTTTTTGTTTGTTCATCCACCATCCATCCATCCATCCATCCATCCATCCATCCATCCATCCAATATGTGTTGAGGGCTTATAGTGCTGTGATGAATACAAGGAAGCTAAACATGTGATCTCTGTTTTCAAAGACCATTCCTATGGTGAGAATAATATGATGAAAGTTATATGACACCGTGGTGACAGAGAAACAGAAGGCAGTAGAATGGTAAGGTGCTGAGTTAGCGAGGTCCATCCTGTGCCTCCAAGGATGGAGTCTCATTGAGACCACCTTGAGATAAAGAGGATTTATTGTAAGGATGAGCACCAGTGTTTTTGGGACCAGGATTCCCTGTCTCTTATGGTCTGCTCCATTTTCTTCAAACACTTCTGACAACCCTTAAGGTGTTCTCTGGTCCAAATCTTTCACGGTCACATTGCCTCAGCTAAATACCCACTGTCCTTAAAGCCTTACAAGCAAGCATCTTCATGGGTAGATGGGCTTCCCTGGGTCAGGTGTCCATCACTGGTCCATTCGGAAAGCACACAGCACAATGACCAGGCAGGGAAGTCTCAGGTAAGTGGTGGCCTCTGAGAGATTCATTTGTTCAGTGAATGGTGAACAGAATAAGTACCAGAGGAGAGAAGAGGATAAAATAGTGGAGAAAGACTTCTAGAAGATATGAGATTGTAGGTGGGAAGATTTATAGGATTTCTGGTTTGTGGACTTGACCTATCATATGGCTTAGGTAGGCGGGGAAAAAAAAGAAAATTTAGATACTAAAACAATTAAAAACATTCGCAAAATTTGGCCTTTGCCCACCTCTTTAGCCTTCCTCTTCAGTTAAGTGCTACCTTTATCCTTGAACTCCATGCGTTAGACACATATCCCTTAAGTTTCTTAGACTTACCAGTCTGTCTTATCTCAGAGCCTTTCTGTGCTGTTCCCTGGAACACTGTTTTTCACGCAACTTGATTTTGCCCTCCAGTCATCGTAAAATGAATGAACCTCTCTAGACATTTCCATAGCACTCTGTGCTTGTCTTGGTTCATTCAGGTCACTTTGAATTGATGGTACATTACAGATTATAGTCTTTGGGGGCTTTTTTATCCCTGTACCCCTGGGACCTAGTGCTTTGAACATAGAAATCAATATTTATTAAATGAATATACGAAAGCTTTAGAGTAGTCATATGTCTTGAACTAAATATAATTTTCTCTTTTCCACATTCTATAATCATCCTTATTCTTTTGAAGACAGCATGTAGATCAAGTACTCATTATTGGTGATATAATATCCCCCCATCCCCTCCAACTTCTGAGGTATAATTGAAAAATAAGACTGTAGGATTTTAAAATGTACAATGTGATTTGTATACATTGTGAAAGGATTTCTCCGCCAGGTTTAATATTAGTGCATACAACTAAGAAAAAATAAGCCCTTTATTAAAAAAGAAAAAAAAGTCTTCAAGAGCCACCAGGGGTCAGTATAATCAAAGAAATGTTATGCGAAGCAAAACCCAACTTAGCCTTTGTCTCTGGTTTTTATCTTCTCTTGGTTTCTGCACAGCATTAAAGCACTGTATATTGCTTATTATTGAACTTCTTTTCTTTTAGCCATTAATAATGGTGGAACTATTTTTATTATTTAAGCAGTACAACACTATAGCCTCTCTTTTTTTGTTTTCCTAAGGCAGTGACAATTCTTAGTATTAATCTCAGGGAGAGGAAAATACTTTCAGATGAGTGTTTTGAAATCACATTTTGTTTCCGGACAAAATATGGAATGATCCTACTATTACTACTGAAGGACAGTTTAGTAAAAAATACAGGACTTGTCAGAGCTTTGATTTGTAGTGATTATGCAGATAATCAGAGTGGCATTCTTAGGTTGGCATTTCTACAATGTAACATTTACACAGTAAGGATGAATGAGTCATTTCATTTACTGATAACCTTTCTAGATTACTTAAATTGCTTTTGACCTTCAAGTATTCCTTTTCACCGTTAGGATTTGTAATGATGAATAATTATTTCAGCTAGTAAAATTTTCAGGCTTTTATTCTTTTTAAAAAAATTTCCTTTATTATGTAGTCTCTGATGGTAGAGCATAGTAAGTTCTTTATATATTATATCTTCATAGACATGTATTTTTTAAAGATGCTAGTTTAATTAAATTGCAGAGCAACTCTTTATATTATTTTTAAGCCCTCTTAAAATTAGTAAAATTTAATGAGAACGCTGACTTTTTTGGGGTGCTACTTATGCATATACTTAATTTGCATACCTGCATTGAATGTGAATAGTTCTTCGCTGCTTTGGGGATTGTACTTGTTCTTCTACCTCTCCCAGCTCTTTCTTTACATTTTTTAAAATTGATTTCAGAGAGAGGAAGGGAGAGGGATAGATAGACACATCAATCTATCTTTTTTTGGGGGGTATCTATTTCTTGACTGGTATCCTTGGTTCTTCCAAATAGTTGCAAATGTTTGTCCCCCCAAATTTTAAAATTATGGTAAAATACACATAAGCTTTATTCTCTTAACTATTTTTAAGCGTACAGTTCAGTGATATTAAATACATTCGCATTCTTGTGCAACCATCACCACCATCCATCTCCAGAACTGTTTTCGTCTTGCAAAACTGAAACTCTGTACCCATTAAACAATAACTGCCCATTTCTCCTGCCCCCAGTCTCTGGCAACTACCATTTGACTTTCTGTCGCTATGATTTTGACTAGTCTAAGTACCTAATATAGTGGAATCAAACAGTATTTGCCTCTTTGTGATCGACTCATTTCACTTTGCATAAAATCATCAAGGTTCATTCATATTGTAGCGTATGTCAGAATTTCCTTCCTTTTTCAGACTGAATAATATTCCCTTATAGGTATGTACCAGATTTAGTTGCAAATGTTCTTGCATCTCTGATCTTAAAAAGTGTATTCCAGATTATTAGAAGGCAATTTTAGAGGTTCTTTAAAAGACAGGCTAATGTTGTTGGCAGCATGGAGGGATCTGGCCACACCAGCCCTCTGTTTGTTTTCTGGACCCCATTTTGACGAGTACTGAATATGTGCCCACAGCCAGGCCTCTTAGTTTCCCTCTATTCCGCT